TAAAATGTATATTTAAGTGAAGTTACCACCAATGTGACTCACTTGACAGATTATTATCATAATATGAGTAAGTAGATAGAAGGAAGACCTAAGACTACTTTACTCTGTTACAATTTGTGTTGACATCATGTCATCAGAGACCACAGGCACAAATCCGACACTACCTGAAACATAGATACAGTGCCATATACCGGGTGTCCCATTTTAATCTTTATTTGGAAATTTCTCGAATTGTATGCATCTGACAAAAAAAATTGCCGAATAAAAGTTGTATGGTTTGGAGGGGGACGTCTGGTTATAAAACAAGTTTCACCCCCTGACCCCCAGGGGAGTGGGAAATGGAGGTAACATTGAAATCTTTAATGGAAACCCCTATTTTTTATTGCTGATTCTGGAAGAGCATTAAAAACTATGAAGCTCTTATTCAGGAACTTCTTTTTTATTTTCACAAGATGGCGCTGCGATCTTGAAAAACAATATTTTACTATTTAGTTTGTAGTTGGTCACCCAGATCACCCGACTCGACTTCCCCAGATTTCTTTCTGTGGGGTTACATCAAAAACATTGTGTTTCGCGAACCCCCAACCACATACGAGAATATGAAATATAACCCCTGCTATGTTGGAAGCGACAATGTGGAATTTTGAAAAACGAGTGAACTTGTGTATTCAAGAAAATAGAGGTCATTTCGAACACTTGATAAAGTAGTCAATCTCACTTAAAATAAGCTTTAGTCTGACCTAAATGATACCTTAATTTCTGAAACATGCTTATTTTTCTCTTTTCTATGTAGAGGTGTCAAGGTAAGTAAGTTTGTTTAGCGTTAATTTGTCGTGTGAATATCACCCCAATGGCGTTTGTCTGAGAAAATATCACACCCTACACTCTTCCTCGTCTTCAGGGGGTTGAAATGTGTAAATAGTGAAATATTGTTTTTTACGATCGCAGCGCCATCTTGTGAAAATAAAAAAGAAGTTCCCGAATGAAAGCTTCATAGTTTTTAATGCTCTTCCAGAATCTGCAATAAAAAATAGGGGTTTCCATTAAAGATTTCAATGTTACCTCCATTTCTTACTCCCCTGGGGGTCAGGGGGTGAAACTTGTTTTATAACCAGACGTCCCCCTCCAAACCATACAACTTTTATTCGTCAATTTTTTTTGTCAGATGCATACATTTCGAGAAATTTCCAAATAAAGATTAAAATGGTATGTATGCAATGCAACGAATAATCCGTGTGGTGAGAATATCCCACCTGCATTTACAGATCAGGTTCATGCAATGTTCAAGGAGGTTCAATTGTAGTTTCAATATAAATACTACCACAGAGTGACCTTTTTGTGTATTTTATTAACGTCATATCGATGAATTCATTTGGATATATCATATATATGATATCGACAATAATAAAAGCGATGATTCATTCCTCTCTATATTCCACTGTTTTTGGCTTGGTCATCAAACGAAGTTGAACAATATCGTTGTGTGGGACAAAAAGGTATTGCTGGCCGTGATTATTCAAAAACCAATTACCCAATCAATCAGATCTCGAGAAAAACGAATGAACTACAGATCTAGCAAGAATGTGAATCTTGATCAAAACAAAAATAGTTAACCAAATGATGTATTTATATCTCCACAATAGGTGTGAGATGCCTAATCTGCGGAAATCAGAAACAAATCAGGTATGCGTCCCAACCCAAATTACCAACCGTAACAATGTTCTTTATTCTTGATGACCTAGTACATCCTTTTCAGTTCCTAAAAGCAAAAGTTCAACTCTATAGCTCCTAGGAAGTGAAAGTGTTGCCTAGCAACATATTCATGTTCGGGTTAGTGATAGAAACGTCAATTCACGAACTAATTTTGGAATTAAAATGGACGACTTTTGTGTCAGTTGCAGAAAATAACTATTTTTACTTATAAAAGTTTCAATATCTTCCATTCGTGAGGTTTTTACTGAGGTGTCTCATGATCTATAGCTGATGATAAAGAAGTTTATATAACCAATCAAAAAACGCACTTGACCTCAGTAAAAACCTCGTGGTTTTATAAATACTTATTGCAATTTCTATATTATATAAAACATAACTGATAAATAGTGGTTGTAACATTCGGAAAAGACAGACTTTCGATAGCAGTATATTACGGTCTACAACAGTGCCGGATTTATACTGTTCGTTATTAGTATCATATTTAGACAAGTTCAGACTAAGGCCAGATTAAACTCAGACCAGATCAGACTCGATCAGACAAATACTCATTGGAAACAGCTGAAGGTGAAATATATATATAATAGTTTGTCTTGTATTTTTCATGCCAAAAAGAACAGTACCTATCAGTGTATTTAAGTTTTTTTTTCACCGAAACTATGCATTAGGTGCTCATACAGGGCTGAGCTCACTATATTCTTACCATCAAAGTAATCCAAGATGAGGAAAATCAAAAATTTGTCGAATATTTCTAGTTTTGAAGTTGAACCACCTTCAACTAGAATAGTATACTAATTTGTACAAATGCACAAACTTCAACCAGTGATCGAGAAAGAAAAAACAAGTATGTTCAACAATTCAAATGCGTGGGATCGCCGGCCTCAGAAAGCTGCCCCTATATACAGGATGCCCGTTTTTTGAAATTCACCATGTTATTATAAAAGATATGGGGTCGGCTAGATTAGGGCAAAGTTGCGTATTTTCATACTGAACATTAATCTGCAATGAAATTCGATGTGTCATTTTTAGTTTTCAAATTATTCGGAGAAAAAGAAAATTTGTAATCGCAAAAACGGTTTTTTGCCAATTTTGATCAACAGGAAAGATTCGATCATACCGTGAGATACATTATTTCAAAAACATTCAGATTCCTTGTAGAAAAGTGTCTTGGGAATGTCCCATCAGTCAGAAACGTCTAGGTCTTGGTTTCCTCTTGGAAAAATAAAAACGAAAATTATGAATGTTCGTTTTCTTTCAATAATTCAAAAACTTAAAATGACACATCAAATTTTCTTGCAGATAAATGTTCAGCAGGAAAATGAGCAGCTTTGCCCTGAATTAACCGACCTCGTATCTCTTATGATAACTGAGATCCCTCGAACTACGGACACCCTGTATAAGGCCTATGGAGGAATCCAGGACTG